TTTTTTTTTTTTTTTTTTTTTTTTTTTTTAGTCGACGGCCTTGAGATATTATCATTGAGCTGACCGGCCCCAAGCAATTCATTTGTAGTCGGTTTTACTCGTCAAGTTCCATCATTTGGATTCGAGCACTGGTCTGTATTTCAACAGTTCATGGGTGTACCCACTGAGCTAGGCTCTTGGGTAAGCGTCCAACTTCTACCTATACCCGGACCCCGTTCAACTTCGCGTAGGACCCGACTTTTCCCCCTGTGCGAAATTGTAGGCATACCCAATCCCGCAGGCCCTCAGTTCCAGACAACGAAACCTGCTCATGCCCACCACGTGGACCACAACCATGTGGACAGCGGCTGCTGGGTATGAGTATAGTTGGAGCCATCCGGTAGTAGGGTATATGAATAATTTGGCCGGTCCACCTCAGTCCCGGGTATGTCCATAATTTTGCCCGGGTATGTCCGTAATTTGCTCATTCCGGTAGTTAGTTATAACTGCAGTTTTGCGGAACCAACCTGGGTCCACCTTAGTCCTGGGCATGCAAATCATTTCCACAGGCAGTTTTAAACGGGTATAGGTGCAAGTTGGTGCTGGGACTGGATATAGTGGGGTACAAATGCGACACTTAAAGCGCTAGCGGGACTGGTGCGACAAGGCTTGACCGCACTCCCGCTGACTTCCTCGGCATGCACGAGGGAGGCGAGGGGACCGACCGCCATAGCCATACGGCTCGGCAGTTGGATACCGCCTTGGATGCGCCCACGAGCTGAAGAGTCAAAGTAGCTACACGTTACGGGGTTCGGGGGAGAAAGGGGAGATACGGCGATGACGGAAACGACATGATGGAGGAAGGAGGAGGAGGGGTGTGAGGAGACGATAAAGATGCAGTAGAGAAAGGAGCAGCGTGCGTTGGACACAGCGGCAGCGAGGAGCGTGGACGCGGCAACTGGATGACAGCGTGTGGCGGAGCATCTACAGTGACTACGGCGAATCCCACCTGGAACGGGTGGGAGGTGAGATGACCCTAGCCGGCATAACTCACCTACTCAGTCATCACTTTCTCACCTGTTCTCCTCGCCCTACTCTCCGTTTGTCCCCCCGCCCGATCTTGCCTCATCTCTGCTGCCCCTGCTCAATCCCATCATTGCACACCCTACATGGCACAGAGATAGCACGCCACATATAACAAAGAAGTACCGTATTGCACACAGGATAAGGATCGTCCGATAACAGATACCAACCCTGGTGTGCAAGCTTCAAACCCTGGAATCGGGAGGAGGGGACTATTGGTCACCCCCAACCTCTCTGACCGCGGTTTGACCGCCGCTTGACTTCAGGGTGAATAGCACAGTCTGGACCCCGCCTGTCGGGATCTCCAAACCGTCGGGTGGATTGGGTGAATTAAAATTTGTAGAATATAGGTGGATGATAATTGCGCAGTCTGATGCTTGCCAGTCCACGTGCTGAGTGGTGATTGTAAAACGACGTCGGTGAACAACGTCGGTGAGACACAACCATATGTTGGAATCCCTGCGAAAAAAGACGGAGACCTGCCCCGATGACGATGGGCCGTCCACATCGACACCAACCAAAACATCCCGATCGTCACGCGGAACGACGAATCAGGGGAGTGGACATGGTGCCACACAATGAGCACAAATCGGGGGGGCAGGGAACCATACACCCTGCGGGCGGCCGGGATCTGCAGGTCAACCCTCTCCCTGACCATCCTTTGGAACCACCCCCCCCAAGGGTGGACCCGCCCGCTGGTGAGGATGGGAGTCGAAGATCCGAAATAACTCAGGCCTGAGCAGACGCCCCTTACCCCCCGGAGGATCGTCTGGCATATATCCTGCCATCGTCAAACGATGCCACTCTGACAGGTGGTCCCTCACAGACCGCCCCCGTTATCTCTCATGAGCCACCACCTCCAGGGACAGAATCAGAATTGCAGGGGGCACAACAGGTTCTACACGGGGCCACGGTCCCGGGCCTACAAAACCTACCCGGGGGGGGGGATCTGGGCCCCAAAAAATCCAGTGACCTTCGGGCCCTCATGCAAGCCCTGGCGGCGGCAGGGAACAGTTCAGACGAGGAGCCCATGGCCCTAGACGCCATGGGCCTAATGAAAGCCCACTTCATACAAAAACTGCACATCCGCCCGATGAGGAAATTCATTGAGAACGATAGGTTCATTTACCCTCATGCTATTTTTTCCCCCCAGACGATTGCGAACCGAAACCTCATCTACGCTCGTAATGTTGTGCAGTTCATATTTCCGCAAGCAGCGGAGGCAGTCTCAATGAATGAGAAACTACGCTAGGTACAAGGACGGTTGCGGGCCATCAAGACGGATGAACAGGCGGTGCAGGACCACTTCCTCATTGAGACAGTCGGCCAGGGTAGGATCACAGTTATCACGATCTACCCTAATGATCGGGCGAATCTGATAAAGACGGCCTCGCTCAGATTCAGAACACACAGAGTTGTTGTCAAACCATGGCAGCCACCGACACCCTTCACTGCATACTAAAAAAGGGAACACTTAATGCAAAACCACTTCTGGGTGGAGTTCAGGTTTGCCCCTCTTAATGTGCAGGGTGCGATCTTAGCAGACTTACAGCAAATTGCCCCGGTCCTTGGATACATAACAGGCCAACCCCAATTCCTCCCCAAACGGGACGACACCCTCCTCGTGGCCGTCGACTGGGACCCGGCCAAAGGGTTCCCGGTCAACAGCCAATGGTCCTTCTTCTAGGATGGCAAAACCTATGCGGTGCAAGTAAACCACCCACACGCCCCTTGGTGCTATGGTTGTGCCCTCAGAGGTCACCTCTCCACCGATTTGGACTGCCCAACCACACAGGGAAGACAAATGTGAGGCCTGGTGAAACCACACCCTCACGGCCCAGGGAGATGGGTGCCCGAGGACCCGACGATGGATGGATGGGTTTTCAGAAGGAAGGAAATAAATAAACCCGGTGAATGGAGATGGGAAGGTGAGGGAAGGCCTGGCAGGTCACCAGCAAACTACTCTATCTTACCGGATGGTCGGGCCAAACCAAAAACCACCTCCACTAACAGTCACACTGAGAAAGACAAGGATGACAGTCAGGGAGGAGGGCGAGGAAAGGAGAAAGGGAAAGGGAAGGAGATACTGATCGGAAAAGGGAAAGAGAAGGACAAGGACAACGGGCCTGGAAAGGAGAGGCCGGAAAACACTACAAGAACAGCGGAGACAGTGTCAGGAACGACAACAACGGGAATTCAGGCCGATGCAACCCGACGGGGGGAAGAAGTGACGAAAGACAAAAAGAGGCGGTAACAAAAGAAACAGACAGAAGGACAAAGGAATGCGATGGTAATGGGTCAGCGGGATCAGGTGCAACGGACGAGAGGTGGGCAGACCACTCAAACCCAACTGCCTCCCCTGCTCCCCTCCAGACAGTCGCCTCCTTCACAAACCCCAATCCACCACCACCGGACTGCCCCCCTCAACAGGCCGGCTCCTCCTCCATGATAGCGGGACCATGTGCAACTGACGAAAGATGCGCAGACCAGTCAAACTCAACTGCCACCTTTGCTCCCCATCAGTCAGCCGCCACCTTCACAGCCCCCACTCCACCACCATCAGATTGTCTCCCCCAGCAAGTTGCCTCCTCCTCCACGACATAGACGGACACTCACCCCATAAACCTGGGAAACAAGAGAGCCCCCCCCCGGACCAGGCCTCCACATCATAAAAGGAGCAGTCGGATCCCGGGGTAAGGCGGACAAACAGGTCCGCCAACTGGAGCACTGGAAGCAGAAAACCATTGCCCTTTTGGCCCCGATCCTGGGCCTCAATCACAAGTTACAGGTGCTGATGGAAGGGGTGGTGAGAGCGACGGATGATCCAATGGGGCTCCTCCCAATGGACCAATCAGGCCCCCCTCCCCCAGACCGGGGGGAGAACACATAAACAGCGTTGTGCCCCCGAATGACCCAGGCTGGGGGAGAAACTGTCCCCGCGCACCAACAGGAACATTGGGGATGGGGGCAACGCCCTCCATCATCATCCCCCCTGGAACAGCAGACTTTCTCCAAACCAGAGCACGGGAGGAAATGCAAAGTTCCCTCGTGCCCCCCCGGCCACAAACAGAGGCTTCGCCACCTCCTCTGGCCATTGACGTGGCTATGGTGGCTCATACAGAAGGTGACGGCGCACAACAGCCGCCCCCCAACCACAACCGCAGCAAATGGGACGACGACACTCAAAAAACAAAAAGGTAAGAGCCCGCCTGAAAGTTCTCACGGACACGATTCTCATGAGTCTGCTGCGACAAGGAGACCACTCCCTAATCCCTCCCCTACACTAGGAGAAGCTCAGAGGGGCGTTCATGAATACAGGCTCCGTTATCAGGGCTCTGGAGACTGCCCCTACCCCAGAGGACATAGATTGGAGGATGGTGGCTCAGGCGATAGTGGCTGTCATCCAAGGTCTTCTACGAAAGATCCACCAAGCTGACCAAGCCCCCCGACCTGTGGATCTACAACATGGGGAACACCCAGAATGCGATACAAGCACAGAAAACACGGCGGGCGCGGTCAATACCATCCACTATGATGGTCTGCAGTGGCCGGATATCATCATACAGGAGTTGGGGGGCACAATGGGAGATCTGGGAAATGAAGGAGCGTTGGTACTGGCGGGACCAGATAATCTGGTGCCCCAACACCTCCTTCTTCCCATCCTGCAAATCCAAGCACTGCCACGGTCCACGGTTGCTCACAGCTCACTGCAATCCCTGCCCTCGGACCGTGACCGGTCATCCACGGTCGATGGCACCTCCTCCTCGGACTCTGCCTTTGACTGGGACATGCCAGTGCTAAAAAACTCACCCCTTACAATCTCGCAGGAGAGACAACTCCTGTCCCTCGCCCCGCAAGGTGGCACAGCGAAACCAACCCAAAAAAGAACCTTCTTTCGGGATCGCCTCACCACTGCGGTCAGCCAGGGGCCAAGGGGGACCGTGGAAATAATGAAAGATGGGGTGGCGATTCTGCCAATACGCTGTAGCCGCACGGGAGGGGCTTGGCAGATTGGTCTTAAAAGTGCTACCCCCCGGGTGCCCAGGATCGCCAGCCGCCATCTCAAACACACACCTGAAGCGCCACCGGGCCTCACGATCCAAGGATGGAGACACGAGATACCCCAAATGTCGACCAGACTGTCCAGGCAGATGCTCCGCAACCACATCGCCCAGCAGGGTGATTAGGGAGCCATAGGCACAGTGTTCCCGCAGGACCCCTCCTTCCCCAAAGGGGTGACACCTGTTCTCATTATCTATAAACCGGAACCGAATCAAGACTCGTCTGACGACCACATCACCTAGTTCACTAGCCAGAACTGTTGGAGGCCCCGGTATCCCGAATGAGAACAATTGCGATATGGTCTGCAGAAGAGCAAAGAATCTGCCTGCGCACTCTCCTAGATGATGATGCACTGGATGCCTACAGGGCATGGGACGATCCTCCATTCCTCACCACCCTCACGATCGGGGCAGCAGCAACCGAATAATTACTCCCATACCCATGTCCATAGCTCTGAGGAACGACGACACGCCCCAGCAGGGGTGACGACAACAACAACAACAACAACAACAACCGCATGATAGGGAGAGGGAGGGGCACAATGAACAGGGGCAGTTCGATCCAGGGAATCTACCTCGCTGTCCCAGCCCACCCTGACCCCCTCCGCCAATCAGACAACAACCGGCTTGGGCCAAAAAGCTTGCCGAAGCGGATTTGGACATCCGCTCAATTAATGTCAACGGTCTGTCGCAACATAATGACCAGAAAGCGACGGCACTATGGAACCTCATAACCAGAGACATGGCTGGAAGGTGGCCAGATGCAATTGGGGTACAAGAGACCCACCTAACGGACTCAGCCCCTCAAAAGGCGCGAGCAAAACTATCTGGCCCCACGCTGCCTACGCAGCTCTGGCCAGAATGGGGGCATCAACAGGAGTGGCTATATGGCTCCCACCCTCTTCCCGCCTCACCCCCGTCCAAGTGGACTGAGACCGGATAGATGGAAGGTGGGTATGGCTACGGGCATTGATTGGCACGGAAGAAATATGCCTTGTTAGTGTCTACGCACCTAACAAACCCGCTAGAAGAGTCCAGTTCTATGACATGTTGCGAAACACCCTGCCGAATGATGTCCCCATCATAATGTTGGGGGACTTCAATACCACACCAGACCCCAACTTAGACAGGAGATCTGCAACACAAACACCCTCCCAACCGTTGAGAGAACCGGGTACGGATAGCACAACGTTGGGTCAGATGATGACACAAATGGGATTACAAGATTCATACAGGGAATTGCACCCGGCCAAACGGGCCTACACATGCGTCAGATCAAGAGGGGATGCGGGAATCTCAAACTTCCGAATTGACCTCTGCCTCACGTCTCAGGACCTCAATGGATTGATGACGGTTGCAGACATCCTCCCTTTTTTACCATGTAAATCATTTGACCACCGGATGATTGCGTTAGGTTTGTCCTTCCACTCTCACGTCGTACGGGGTCCCGACTTTTTTAAATTCAACACCTCCCTTTTAAAACTGTCGTCCCTGAACAAGCAGGTTAAGGAGTTCTGGGCTCATTGGTCAGCACAACGGCAGTAAGAGGGTTCCACAGTACGGTGGTTTAACGACTGAATTGCACAGCTCAGACAGAGAACAAAAAAACTATCTATTAAACATGCACGAGACAAGAAAGCATCCCTAAACCGCCTGATCGCCGAGTTGGAAGACTGGGACAAGTACCTTATGGAAAACTCGTTGGACATCCACCTTCCAGGCCCTCCAGAGGGCCAGGGCGCAACTCCAAGAATACCTCGATGACCAAACACAGAAATGGCGGATCCAGGCCCAAATCAACAAAAATGCTTATGAAGGCATGATGTTCAAAGCCTTCTTCAACAAAGCAAAGACAAAGAACAAACACAATACAGTCCACTCTCTCAAACACCCCTTCGACGGCCGCAGCCGGGGTGGCCAACAACGCCTACCAAATTGTGGATGCCCTACCAGCCCTGCTATCCACACAGCAAAGAAACCTTTTGGAGTCCCCCCTCACCCACGCGGACCTCCTCAGGGCTCTGCAGGATATGGATGACGACAAGACTCCTGGTCTTGATGCGTTCCCTAAAGAGTTTTGGCTACACTTCTGGGATGTGTTCGCCACTGACTTCGTCGAGCATGTGAACGCTGTATTTCGTGAGGAATCGTTTGGGGAAATGATGGGCCAAGGGGTGACTACGCTGCTTTACAAGAAGGGTGATAAGGAGGAGATCCGTAATTACCGCCCTATCACCCTCCTGACGGTTCCTTACAAAATTGTGGCAAAAGCTTGGGCCAACAGGCTCCTGCCGCACTTGCCACACCTTATCCACTCAGACCAATCTGGCTTTATGCCCCATTGGAACATACAGGACAACATCCTGTTAGTTAACGAAACTATCCGGTACTCACGGCAACACCAAGTAGACGCTGCGATCCTGTTCATAGACTTTGACAAAGCGTATGATCACCTGGACTGGGATTTTTTGCAGATGTGTCTTCACAAAATGCACTTTGGTCCCCTTTTCTGCGAATGGATCAACATATTGCATCGAACAACAACTACCAACATATCACTAAACGACCACCTTGCGGCTCCTTTCCGATTATAGAGATATGTGCGCCAAGGGGACCCTATTGCCCCGATGCTGTTCGTTTTGGTGATGGAGGCCTTGACAGCAATGATCAGGTCGAATCCGGACATTCAAAAAATCGAAGTGCAGGAAATTCCGGACCATCTTATCCCCACCACCTCGTTGTTTGCCGATGATCTCACGGTTTTGTTCAAGGCCAACGAACAGAGTTTCCGGGCTGTGGCCCGTACCATCCACCTCTTTGAAATAGCGGCCGACATGAAGGTGAACTGGGGAACAAAAACGGAGGGATGGTGGCTGCACCACCTCCAGGAACAACCGCCACCTCAACCACCGGTTACCTGGAAGGACAAGGAAGCTGCCATTGGGATTCTTGGGGTTAACTTGACAACCTTGGGCCCCCCGCCCAATCATGGGGACTCCCTAGTCGACCTGGCCATCCACCGGATGTCCAGATGGGACACCAAACCGACTTCGCTGATAGAAAGGGCCCTGGTTATTAATAATGCCATATTTGCTTCAATCTGGTACAAAGTGGCCTTCTGGCCTCTCACTACCAACCAACTAACCAAACTAAAACAAGCTGCAACAACCTACCTGTGGAAAAATGACCATGACGACACTCACTGCATCAAAAGAATAGCTTGGGATACCGTCATCCAACCGAGATCCAAGGGGGGTCTTGGAATAATAGATCTCGCGCAAGAAATCAGGGCATTGATCTTCAAAGTCCTCATCAGGCTGCTGCTTGGCAATGACATCCCATGGGCCTCGTATGCGGCCATCCAAATTGCATGTCTGGCCCCCCGATCACCAGAGGACCACCCGGTACATCCCTTCCAATGGCTTACAAACTCGGAGTGGTCCATCCCGGTATGCCCAAAACACCGCCCGGACATAAGCCCTGCATATAGGGCAAAAAAAAAAATCAAAATTGACCCGCTGTGGCCGGTGATGCTCAGGTTGTGGAGGGAGATGGGCCCAACGAGAACAAAGACACCGCTCAGATGATATGACATCAGACGACAACCACTTTATGGGCATCCCCAAATCACGGATCAGGGGGGGCAACCCTTCTCTCTTTGTATAAAATCCAAATGGTTGAAATGGGTGAGGAGAGGAATCTACATAGTAGGGGACCTCTGGAGTAATACTCTTGTCAATTGGGAAGCAGAAGAAAGAATCAGATATAAAATGGGACCCCTTCCCAACCTCCCCCAGGAGCTTCGGGAGCTGCAGGAGGCTATCCCTCTCGCCTGGGTTGTAGCCTTGAAAAAAGGTTCGACCCTGCTGCAAGGGGACAAGATGGTTCACACAGACGCCCTCCTTCTCCCGATGACGGTATACAGGGTGCACAAAGTTCAACTTGGGATGCTGCACCTGGAGGCGCACTGTCCGGCCCTTCCGGGGGCCCGATGGTCACAGATCCACCGACACGAAGACCTTGACTGTGAAGCCCCTCCCGCAGATGTGGTTAGAGTGAAAGTGGTGGAAGATAAGGATGACTCTTCGTATGTGTATCAACCCACTGTCCCCTTGTCCCACTTGCCTTTCGACCCGGACGAATGGGAATGGGGCATGGGACCCGCCTCTTCAATGAAACCATGGCAATACACTGTTAAGCAAGGATATAGATTTCAGAGGAAGAAGGCCCCGGTGATGGACAACATTCGAAGGAGGTGGGAACGAGACTCCCCGCTGACTGGGGAGGACCTCTGCCTCTTCACCTGGGCCGCTTATACCCACATCCAACCGACAAATCATAAGGCGTTGCAGTGGCAAATTATACACAGATGCCTCCCGACCCCGGAGTGGCTAACCGATAGGACAAAGCTGGAGCAGGAAGGTATTCTCTCTCCCTTATGTTCCTACTGCGAAGGCGCCGTCCCCAAAAAACGGGCAACCCTGGAACACTGCCTCCTGGACTGCCCTATGGTGTCACGACTCTGGAGGTGGTGGGACGCAGCCTGGCACTACCTCACAGACCACCGCTTTCCATGGTCTCTGCAGGCGCTCCTATTAGGCATCCTCCCTCAAGGGACTGCTGCCCACTGGTCCCCGTTTATGCTAAATCTCTTTCAATATATTCGTCTGGCTATAGTGATGGCAGCCTGGCGAATGAGATGCTCGTACGAAAGGCAACAACAGACTTTTGACTATATGCAAGCCAAGGCGTCCATAGCAGATACAATAACGGTGATGACCCAAGATGCCTGGAAACACATGCATGATAGACTTTTGTGAGAGCAGGATGAACAAAAACAAAGACAACTAATACAAAACTTTTCTATGACCTGGCTCGACCGTAACAATAGATTATGTTCACTCAACCAAAACAATACACTTCAGTGGCAGCCCTGGCTTTCCACGGAGAACCAGTGGGACTTCGTACCGATTGACACATTTGTGATACCTTACCAGCCCACCAACTTCCTCCTCATTCCACCCCTCCCCGTGAATCTTCCCGGAGACCCCCTCCAATCCCCGCCGCCTCCCCCTGCCCGACCCCCTTCCTCACACCCCTCTGCCAGCCAGGAGGTCATCGTGGTCCCCATGGACCCTTACTGCACCTGGGTGGAACCCCAGCAATGTATAAAACTGCAGGAATCTTGGTAATAGTAGTGAGACGAGTTGTCAACAGACTGCAAGCATGGAGACTTAGGACCTACAAGAGTTATAGGGGTTAAGGGATTCGGGCAGGGACGACTGTCACACGGGGACTGGAGGGGTCAAAGGACGAGAGACAGGGGCTATTTCAGGTTCGGGGTAGTGGTTAGGGGCCACAGACTGCCGAGATCGGAAGCAACGGGTTAAAGATGGGACTTGAGGGAAAATTGATTGGGGCGATGTTACA